GAAGAGTCGAGAGTTTTATCAACGCCACATAAATATTCTTGTCGCATAAAGGTAAAGCAAGTTCGCCTTTTGCTTTATTTGCAAAACACACTACGTGAAATGGTCTAATAAATCATGTTTTTTTTCGTTTTTCATATTTGTGATTTAGATCTTTGTTTATGTTTTACTATTGCCTTTGATTTTTGCTTCCGTATCCATCAATGATTTCGACATGGAAAAGTGAATATAAGCTAAATATGTATGTGTTTCTTTTATTCCGTTTTCAAACTCAAAATATAAGACCTACTACACTGATAAGCCCATCACAAATCTTGACATTATTTGCTAAAAAAATATGGGATCATGGATGTATGTTTTCACACTCAATATTTTGTCAAGTGTGCGTTAAGCTATGTATATACTTTATTTATTGCACAAACAACCCAAGATTTTTGCCTCCAGTAGTATCATATAACTATTATTTAAGGAAGTGCTTAACTTTATGTCACCCTAATGAGTAAATCTCACTTATAAGAATAATAAACAGCATATTATTTTAGAGCATAAAATTGTAGCGGATTTTTATTTTTTTGATTAATTCATGAATTTACATGAAAAATTATTCTAAAATCAAATGATTAATCATAAAGGAAGGACAGAAATTTTGTGTGTGCTGAAATAAATTGGCTATGGAACATTATTCTAACATGACATTAGTCAACATTAAAATAATAAAATAATTTGCATAGAAAGCAAGTGCAAAATAATATGAATAAGTGAGTGTATAATCAATATAAATTAATGATGCGTTCAGTGATGAAAAACACATAATACTCTGATGAATAATAAAAGCAATTTAATATTATTAGATCACTCAAATAAGTGTTTCATTAAAATCATCGAAAAATCTTAATTTAAGCTTCTCAAAAATCCCATCCAATAATCAATTTATTGCTTCAATTGCATTATAAATTTTTTGATCACTTATGAATGGGATGTGTATAAAAGAGTGGAAGGACAGTAATAGCATAAATATAAAAGTTAATCTCATGAATATTCATAATTTAAGTTACAATAACAACGGATGTACGAAAAACAACAGCAGGGTCAGATTGTTGAAGCGTCTGCAGATTCAGCAACATTGAAATCATTGAAATCGAAAATTCCTATAATATGTACGCTCGTACGTATGTGTACATATAATATGAATCCAATCAATTCAAACTTACATATTTAAAATTGCGAGGAGCACTGAATAGTTGTTTTTGTTGAATTCATTCATATGCTTTATCCCCTCAATTTTGAAGCAAATTGAACAAAAAGGAAAATGAAAATATTATGGAAAATAATGCAAGAACATAAGCACATTTTTTATGCCACATAATTTCCTTTATGTCAAGCAATATTTCCTATATCAAATTCGCGAATCAATCTTTTTGTGCTCAACCTTAAAAATGCTTTTTGTTCATTTTTCTTAATCTTTTGGCCTACTTTACTTTTCAAGTACTATAGCATGTTAGTTTCATGCCTTTTCAGCATTTTTTTTTTGTTTTGTTTTGAAGCTCATAAAGTTACCAGCACGTGAACATACTTACTCTGTATGATTACGAGAGAGGAACTTCAGTATAAAACTGATAAAATGTTGAAAATTTATTATCATTGGTTTTCTCAACAAGCTGCTTGGGAAACTCATTGACAATGTTTATATTTCAATTATCTTCCTCAAAAATATTCAATAGCACTAGAATAAAATTTTCCAATTACAATGTAATTTTTAAGGGAGGTTTTTACGGTGAAAAATCAATATTTATCCAATTTTCAAATAAAATGCTAATTCGTAGAATGAACAATGAAAACAATGGATAAAAACAGGAAGAAGGAAGTTAATCTAATTAAAATAATTTTATAATTGCTATATGATGTTGATGTTGATTTTTTTAGATAAAAATATAAAAAAAAATCTTAAAGCGTTTTTATCAACATATAAACGTATAACTCCGACAGTACTTCACTCATGCTAGAAATTGCATTATCACAAAAAATGTATTTGGCCCGTTGGGTATTTTTCCATTTCATACAATCATAAAAAAATTCACTTCATGATTTTTTTTCTCTTCTCTTTTGATTTTTGTTCATTTTTTTCGACACAAAGAGTATGTAAATTCCTTTTAATGCCGTTATGTACCTTCGGGAAATGAATGATAATTTTTTATCGTGGTAAAATTAAGGGGAAATTTTGCGTTAACTTTCATTTCTTCCTTTACATTAACTCAATATATTGAACAATTATGAGAAAAAAATTTAAACTTCCTTACTTTATAATGAAAAGCGCACTTTCAAGGCAAGAATATTTATGATTAATTTTAGCAATTATAAAAGACTTAAGCATCAACTTTTCATATTAAAAAATCCGTAAAGTTTAAATGCTTAAAGAAGTAAATTTATAAGTTAAACAAACACTCACACGTTGATCTACAGTTAAAAAAAGAATCCGAACTTCTTCTTTAATTGTCTGCAGCTAACGCTTTTAAAAGCCTTCAGCTAAAATTAATTCATTGTTTTTCCAAATTTTATCATTATCTATTGATTTTTTTTCTCTCCAAAGTGTAGTGCTTGCATAGCTCATTCAATTGCAAATATGAGTATAAAAGAAAGTAGATCATGAATGACATATAAATTTTCATAATTGTTCAAAAAAAAGAAATCCTCGTCATTATTTTGTAAATTGTTATGACTCAAGTTTTGGAGCTAAATGGCAATCATAGAGAATTATTTTATTGGTAATGAAATGAGTTTTGATGAATATGAATTAAAATTACGAGGAAAGAAGAGAAGAAAATTTGTGCTAATGACTTGGGGCTGTGCGGAATCATGAGATGGGAAGAAAGAGTTCATTAATGGCAAATTGACTTACCTTTTGTTATAAACATCGTTTCTCATTGTGAAGAAGCGACGAAGTAAAGCGTTAAAACTTTTTCTCATAAATTTAATCTTCCTACTTGTACATTTTCATCTTAATTTATTATAGAGCTGTGATTCCAAACAATTCCAAAATTGATAGTATAAGATCAGCCAAGATATTTTACCGACTTGAAGAGGGAAATTAATTGGAATCAGGTAACAAACTATTGGCAAATTCACGTAACTTAAACATTAGAATAGGAGAGCAATTTGTGTGTGTGTGCATGTGTATTTGTGGTGGTTGTTATATCTGGAGAATGAAGAAACCCTTTATAGAATTCTTAATTACTTCGACGATTTCTGTAAGAAGATAATTAGAGCCGAGTTTTTCCTAAGATGAACGTGAAAAAACTTTTTTTCTCTTATGTACTATTTTATTGTTTGCGACAATAAATGTTTATGTCGAGCATATGAGAAAGGAAATAAAAAAACAGGAAATATAAAAATCTATCTTTTGTTTAAGTGTACACTTGACTTTAGAATATTTTATTTAAAAACACTTTAAATTAAATCATATAATGCTTGACGAACTGATCGAGAAATTAACATTTTAAAACAAACATCCTGCTAAATTTACTTTAATAAAAAGAAAACCTTTTACAATAAGCTAATAATAGAAATCTTTAAGCCAAAATAATACATTACGATGAAAATATAAAGGACATCAACTATTATTACCCCGACGATTCATTTAATTTCATTGATGTTTATAGTTAACCTTTTGTATGTTTCTATCTTACACATAATGAACCGACGTTAGGAAAAAGCTTCAATTAATTCTTGTGTCAAAAACATTATATTTTGCATATCTGTAATACAACAAACAAAAAAATAGAATTTGAAGTTTTCAACAGCAAGGATTTATAAAATAAGACCAAATTTTTTTGTACAGTCGAGAATTTTCAATAATTTTTAACCACATTTTTCTGCCACTTTATATCATCTGAGAAAATTGTACTTTAGATAGTTATAGAAAATGTTAGTATGTCAATATCCATAAGGAAAAATAGATATTTTCTTCACTGCTGTCCCTATTTTCAATACTTCCTATTTCTATGAAGCAAAATGAATTGATCGTAAGTCGATTTAGATTTTTTTGACTCGGAATAAAATAAAGGAATCAATATTTTTGTGTAAGCATGTATGTATACATACAACATACATATATGCTCATAAGTTTGTTTTTGGCTGATAACATCAAATGAAATTGACCTATGATATTTCTTAGTGTGTCAACAATAATGTATATTGGACAGCATCTATGATAAAGAGTATCATTTCATGTTTCTCGCTTTCCATAAGATTTATTGCGTTTTCTTGATTCCATCAATAGACAATGAAATTAAAAGTTTTGTTTTTTGAAAAAATTAAGCAAATGCCAAAAAAAGTCTACGATTACATGTCAAACAATGAAACTCGAATTTTCCAACGTAATAAAAATAATTTTAACATTATTGAAACAAATAAAGCTAATTATACAAATTGGTACACAGGCAATATTGCGTATATGAGGCCAAAAATAATAATAATGTCTACCACCCTAATTTACGATTATTGTACAGTTTTATGGATAAACTTTTTTTTCCTTCTCACTCACATTTGGATCATTTAGATAGAGAAAAGAGGAAAAGGAATTTTTCTGACTGTTTTTATTTTATTCAGAAATATTTTTTTTTTCTTTCTTTGCTGCAGAACAATTTATATTTTCAAGCGTGACAGAAGCAGCAATAAACCGTAATAATTGTCCAAGAGCTTAAGAAAACTTTTCATATTAATAATTATCATTCATTCTGACAACAGATTTATGTAACTTATTCTTTACGTTTTATCGTTAGCACAAAGAGAAGTCATAAGTCAGAGAAAGAAAAGAAGAAGAGAAATTCTTCAAAAGTAATAGCAGGAAGTGTTGGTACAATTACATACCTAATTGTGAGCTAACGAAAAGGAAACAAGAGAAATGTTAAATTAAAAAAAATAAGGAAACAAAAACATTTAAACTTTTTTAATTTTATGTTTTATTCTTTACAATATTTTAAATTAGATAATTTAAGTATTTCTGCAAATTGCATCAAATGATACAAAACTTCTTAATTTTAAATGCTTATGTTTTAAACTTAAAGATTTTAATAAAATCGAAAAGTTTCAAGTTGCAAATCATCAGTCTTAGAAAATTCTTTTGAAAAATAAAAATTTTAATAAGCAGTTATAAGAGATGGCTTATAAAAGAATTATTCCTCTGTAGTCCTTTTTATTAAGGAAATTTAAAAGCAGTCTTTTAAAAGTAAAACGTGGCGGCAAATAAAAAGTGTGGCATCCATGCAAGTCACTGGAACATTATAACTAATTTTAAAAATCAACTTAATTTTTGTTTATATATTTAACTATCTTCTTGCTGTAAATTTGAGTGAGTATGTTTCTGGTGGAACTGCAAGACATGCTTTATACATCTTTATGTTTTCAGTATTTTCACAGGATACATCGAAATTTTGGAGAATATTTATCAGCATAAGAAACGAGTATGATTTAACAAGATTTTGTCCAATGCATGTTCTCTTGCCAATCGAGAATGGAAGAAATTGTGGAATATTTTTCTTGACGCGAAGAACCATTGAAGAATCCAGTGCATTGTCCTTCTTTAATTTATGTACGGGAACATATTCTAAAAATCTCTCAGGGTTGAATTCTTTTGGATGTTCCCAGTATTTTTCGCTCATATTCAATTCGTAATTATTAATAAAAACAATCGTGTCTTTGAAAATCCCGTATCCATTGATCAAAGAGTTTTCTGTAGCAACATGAGGGACTATTGGTGATGATGTATGTCTTAAAATTTCGAATAAAGTTGCAATCGTAAATGGCATGTCTTCTGCATCATGAAGTGTGATTTTTCGCTTTCCATTCTGTGACATTGCATGGATTTCTTCTTGAATTCTTTTTCCAATTTGTGGATACTTGGCAATGTATCCCAAAGAAAGATACACAAGGTTTCCTGTTTTTTAAAAGTAATAATGAGCTTATAAGATTGTATTAAAATTTAAAAAAAAAAACTATAGTTTTAAATTACCTATAGCACTGTGTCCTCCTAAAAAGTCTTCAAGCATGAATATTATTGTATTTTTGGTAACATTTTCCTCCTTTGCCAAAGATCTCAGAAGTGCGTCAGTAAAGTCGTCATCATTTTCATTCTGCATTCTTATCTTTTCGTCTCGGTTGCCAATCACTCGATTTAAGATAAATTTTCGTATGACTTTAGCCCATGAGTCGAGAGTTTGCATGTGTTTCTTATAAAAAGGACTGAGCCATGGAAGAAAATCAACGGCATAACCCTGATTTATTTCCCAAAAAATTTCATCAAAACTTCTAACCATATTTTTAAAATCAATATCATCATATTCAAATCTTGTTGAGCACATATAACCCAAGAATAAATTTGCACATGTTTCCATAATCATTGGTTTCATATGAATTTCTCCTGCTGTGTCTTGGACCATTTTTTTCATATGCTCAATGCATTTTTCAACTTCTGTACATCCTACTTCATTCAATTTTTCGAAATAGTCTGTATTATTTCTAGGTGAACAATGTTTTCTTGCTAAATTACGCCTTTTTTGCTGAAGATTTGACCAGTCGCATAATGCAAGAGCTGTAATAATCAGACAAATTTAAATAACTTTTTATCCTTTTTGAGGAATTAGATGTCATGACAAATTTGATTTTGAATTATTATTACTAGCATTTCAAATATTAAATGATGATTTACATATTTACAAAAAGTAGTATAAACAAGACATGACAAATTTAACATATTCTTCATAAACTGACCTATGACAACAATCGTATACTCACTAGAGATGTAAAATGACCATATGAGCATTATTTTACTTACATAAGATCACTTATATCAAGGCTAATATTTTGATTGCATTCCACATAATAAAAAAGCCTGTTTAATAAGGGGAGAACCTGATGCATAAGACCAAGAAATATCTCAGTTGTTAAGGAAAAAATCATATTTTATTGCTTAGTACATCGAGAAAGTCTAAGAATATGTTTTGCCTGGTTTATAAAACAAGCTTTAACAGACCCTCATCACGGTCAAGTTCAACAAGATGGAATATTTCATGAAACTACTTTCTTATATAACTCAACAAATTATTTACTGATAGCATAATAATACTGGTATGGAATAAAACAAGAAATATAAGATGCACAGTAAAATAATCTTTTTAAAAAAATTGCATTTATTGTGGAATAATTTATTCCAGAAGTTGCGTTGTAGGTCAAATTGTTATTAAATTATAATTTTTTATCATCACACTTTCGAAAAATCGAGAACTCGTTTTGAAATTTAAGCATTTCTCCATTTCTTTCATTTCTCCTATTTACTTTTCTTTCTTTTTTTAAGAACGGGACAAAACATATTATATAATCGACAAAATGTAAAAAAAAACAAGTTTAAGGCAAGAAGTCTTCAAGTTCAAGATTTCGATTTTTTTTTTCTTGTTTCCCACACGCCATAAATAAAGCATAAAAAGTAACAGTAAATGAAAGTATAAGAAGGAAAGTTGTCGAGTTAAAATCAAATTTTAACATGAAGCCAATTTTTTCGCTTGATTTAAAAAATATTAAAAATACAGCAACTTACAATTATTCCGATCACCTCCGAAAATTCTATGGAACCTCTGTTGAAAAAAATGCAAATTTTTAATAAATTTTCGTTCAATAAAAGAATATTTTTTCATGCTTCACCTCAAAATCTGGTCGACCACCAAAAAATATACCATTTTGATTCAGGACTTCCTTGATTGTTTCTAAATTATTAACAACGACACACCTTATTGTTCCAAGAGTTAAACTGTAGACATCACCATAAATCTTGCTCAAAGCACTAAAACCTTCGAAAGGCACATCATATTTTCCCAGTAAGGCTAAATTTCCAATCAATGGAAGTGGCAGTGGCCCAGGTGGTTGCACCAAATATTGATCACTATTTTTATGATTTTTTTCAATGTGTCTCTTAACACTGTCAGAGATTTTTACAGCACGTTTACATTTAAATACCAATTTTAAATAAATTATCAAAAATAATACAATAATGACATAAAGCAAATAAAGTGTTAAAAATGCCATTCTGTTTAAACTATTTCAATCAAATAATACTTTTTTGTTTTAATATCACGATTTACTTTTAACCACGTACAAATTACGACTGATCACTTTGATTACTCGTCACAGGCTTTATATATTTTTTTATTTCGTTCAAGAATTTTTTTTTCGTTTCGATTACATTTGTGTTAAAAGGAACATGTAGATAACAGGGCAAACATACACTTTCAGAACTTAAAATCAGACAGTTTATAGATAATAGATATTTTGTCAAAAATTCCATAAAATTGTTAATTTTTTTTTTGTCAAACTCATGCAACTTAATTTCTCATTAATTCATACAGAATAGAATCAAATTTGGTAAAATGAGGAAAATTTTAATAAATAAGATTCATTTAAAATATTTGGGATTCTTAACGCATTTAATGTTTATTGCTTGCAACAATTTTTAAGCAGGAGCACTTTGGGAGTAGTTCACGTATGACGTCTGAAATTAACGATAATTTTTCAAAAAGAACATTTCAGATCCTGAAATTTCTATTATTCTTTTCTTCTTAGTTATTCCTAAACATCATAAATGAACGACCCCTTAATCAAAAGATATTAGAACCTTTCTAGAGTAGTTTCTAGCCATTAGGAATTTAAATACTTACACACTTAATTCTCTATATGTATTTCAATTTCATTACGTATAAGTATAAAAAAACCAACATTTTCTTTTATTACCAACCAAACATGTATGTAAACATATTACCGGCTTACACTTTACCGGCGTTGCTGGTGTATTGAAAATTATGAATGAACTACTACATTATGATGTAATATATTCACGTACAATACACAAGAAGAGATATACTAGACAATAAATTTCTAAGGAATGACAGTGTGAAGGAAGAACAAAGAAAATGTTCCTTTCTATCATCAATCAAATCAATGTATAAAAATGAATATACACACTAACAGCATTATTTCATCTTGGCAAGAGAAACAGGTCCTTTTTGATTATTCTTTGTCCGTTTTTATTTGAGAAATGACCATCGTGCACAAATGCTGCTTATAAGTTTTCAAATGAATTTCAAACACTTGATTTATTGAATTAGGGCCCGTTCACTTATGACGTCCATAGAGGGGGGGGGGGGGGGTCAGCAAGAAAAGAAAAATAGAAATTCCAGGAAATCCATTGTATAAGTGAACGACCCCTCATTTTAAATGAATTTTAAGCAACATTTTTACTTTTAATTCCAGACTCATACGATTTCAGCAGAAACTTAACAAACAATGTTAATCAAAACTTTTAATATCATCGTTCCTTAATTGTAAAAAAAATTGGCTGAAACAAACTGCTAAAATAATAAAAATATGATTATTTATAAAACATAAAATATTATAAATTATGATTTTAATTTATTTATATTCAAGAAGCTTCTCTTGCGGTTTTGCAATAAGTAGTCTCATCAAAATCTCTGCCTTAATAGAAGTAGGTCGTACGTGAAACCCTAAAAACTTTAAATTGATTAATTGACAATTTTTAATTTTTTGCCGCCAAGTGAATTTATGTCAATTAAAATTTTGAATTTGCACGGGAAGCATATAAAATATTTCAACATTAGCATTTAAATTCTATGTCTAATTAAAATGATAAAATCGCAGTTTATTAGTAAAATGATTCTTCTGTAAGATCTGTTTGAATTGTTAATTAAGCTTCTGATTTACATTCAATCAGGTGACATTTATTTTGCCATAATTTAAGTGTTGTCTACAAAAAAAATAATGATGCAACATTTAAATTAATAAATAAAGCTTTAATTTGTTTTTGTTTACGGCCCACAAAAAAAAATCTGTACAAGGGCATTATTTTAAAAAAATTTAAATCAAGTGATCAAATGAGGAAGAAGTATTCTGATGTTGGAATTCTCAAAAGGAAAAAGAGAAAGTTGAATATAATAAACAGTTATGTTATCTCAAATTCAGCAATAAGAACAGAAAACAACTTTTAACAGCGGTTATTAAAATGCGAAGAAAAGAGAAAACAATTCTCAGAATTAAATAAAAATCAACAGAATCACCAGGAAATTTACAGACCATAAATTTGTCAAAGAATTTTATTCAATGAAATTTGAGTATCCACGCGCAATACCAAATACTGTTAACGAGGGAAACAAATTCACTTAATAAGCAAATTCATTTAATTCTTTTCAATTAATAAATTTATAATGTGTTGCTATAAAAGTAATAAGAACAGCTGAGCACTTTTAAAAGATACATGAACCTAACATTTTGTACAAGATAGAAACAAGAATATATTACCAGACACATGTATGAGACTGCTCAGATCAAAATTTAATTTATGGCTCCTTCAAGTCTCCTCTGCCTGACCAATAACTGGTTTTATTAATTTCAATTACATTCATTCATAAAATCAAATGCGTAGCAACGACCTAATATAGCAATTTCTTGAATAGATTAGTATTAGTTGACAAATTTCTTCTTTACTTAATACTGGTCTTTATTAATCCTGTTGAGTATTTATGTATATGAATTTAAAAATGACTGATTGCAATTATATAATTGCCACTTTTTTAGCGTTTCCAAAATGCTCACACGATATATGATCAATTTAAAGGAAACACATGATAAAAGATAATTTATTCTTCTAATGTTTTAAAATTCGTTTCTGTGCTTAAAATCTTAAAGACTTGAGTAAATTCTAAATTCCCACTTGACTGGGACTCACTGTTTCAATCGATCATGCGGATTTTACAAGCAACAAGTCATGATCAAACTTTGGTAATTTTACACTTATAAAATTTCTTTGTTAATCTTCAGCTGTCCAAGTTTCTATTGACGTAATAGATTTCATTTATAAAGATATATCAAATACGTATTAGTTTACGTCATTTTAGTCAGTCATAAAGTTACAAAGCAACAAAAACTTAAGTCCTGACATCACATTTTTCAAAAGCATGTTTAAACAGCGTTTCACACCTTTTATAATAATTAAAGAATTAATTTGATCGCATTGACATTATTTTACAATATTTAGGAAGTCGGTAATTAGAACCGTCGATGAATATCACGTTGTGCAAACATATTCAGACACAGTAAGAAAAATTTCAATAAATCAAGCAAATTATAAGGAATTGATTTTTAAATAAAATATTGCAATTCGTAATAAATGTTTGTTGCTCGTTTTTAAAACAAACCGCAATAAAATAAGCAATAAGCTCATGATGATGATGATGATGATGTACTCAGAATTCTTAGAAATTTTTTAATTAAATTATAATGGAATCTGATTTAAACTAGATATTCGATTTGAATAAAATATCGATTTATAAGTTTTATTTCCTATCGATGTGAATTAAATTAATTAAATTAGATTTTTTATTAGAAAATTTGTCATGTCATGTGTGAAAGGAAATATTTTTAGTCAGATATCATCAATTCTAAAATTCAGAAAATAGACAGAGGAAAAATGTGACCACAAAAGTTAATGCAATTTTTCATATATGTATGTACACGAAAAGCTAGATCCATTTCGGAAATTAAATTTGAGGGAAACCACCAAACTATTGAATAGTATGCAAAAAAAAATATGCAGTCATTAAATCATCGCTATTGTGATTGTAAACATGCTGACACTTGAAAGTTTTTTAATTCAATTATTCTAGATAGACTTTTATGCATTTTTTAAAGGAACGTTAAATCCATAAATCGTTGTGGAAAAATATTGATAATTTTCTAACATGAAACGGTATGGAGCTTTAAAAGGAAGTAGGACAAAAAATAATTTTTAGGGTGTTAAAAGAGTATCTGCTTTATCTTCATCAAATCATTTTTCAACGAAACATGCTCTTGAATATCATTATATCCTCGTCATCCGCAACATCACACACTCTCTCATATAACATCACAGCCATTTCATTATAATAAAAAATAATCTAATTTTAAATACGTTTTCAAATCCATGGCTGGCAACAGTTTGCCCTTTTTTATCTTCACACTTATATTCTCAATTCTCATCACTTATACATTGAAGCTAATATTCCTATGTTAAGAAGAAGAGTTACTTTCATGTACATATCTATATCTATATATTATAAGCAGTACAAGTGAATGAAAAAAGTGATATAATCACAATTAACAAGTTTTCTGTTTACATCGCAAAACCATTGTATACATATTACCTTTTTAGTCTCATAAAATGTTTAATGTTGAAAAGAATGATCTGGTGGAAGTTAATTTTGTTTAAATATCCTGCATGATTTACTTAATTACAATGACATTTTTTTTAATATTCAAGGAACAGCAAAACCCTTCCATTTATTATCAACTGACTGTATAATATACTCGAATTGTGATGTTGTGATGATACATAGTGATGCATGAAATTCCATTAAAAGTTAGAAGTCAAATCCAAAAAAGAAGAAAAGGGAAACTGAAATTGTGTGATTCCTGCACGTTCTATGCAACATTTTTTTTCTTTCGTTCTTCTTTTTTATCAACTTTTTGTCTGTTATACTATCAGTTATCAAGAAAATATAGATAAAAACTTTTCAATTTTTGCATTATTTTAAAAGAGTTTTTAAGTAGATTATAAATTTATTACGGATTAAAATTAATATAATCATCTTTTTTAAAAAATAACATGCTTTAAAAGTCTAAATATATAGTCAACAAATTGTACTGTAAAAAATTCAACCTCTGGACCTTTAAAATCTAAAAGGATGAGAGATAATAGATGAAAAGTAGAAGAAAGACTTAAAAACTTACACACATACACGAAGGTATACAAAAAAGAATTTCATCACTCAGAAAAATCTCTTCTCATCGCCTTTCTTTCCATTTCCAGAATCAAATCGAAATATTACAACAAATACTTCTTTTGTAATTTATTACAAAACTTTTATGCGAGTTTTTGTATTGTTTAATAGGTCTTTGGAAGTAAAATTTTTCCTCGTTCTTATCTATCTATTATTAAATGCTTGCACATTAAGATAAACATTGAAGGAAAAAATACTGCTGTGTAAAAACTGGATAAGATCAAAATTTAATAAATGATAAAAGTTTTGGCTAATCTTATGATTTTTACATTCACTTTTCTCCAATATTGCAATATTTTCTCGACTAATGTTCATCTACTTTTGATTAAATTATACGTCAAATTTTGCAGTAAGTTGAAAAAAATAAATAAATATAAAAAGATGATTTTTTCTCAACATCATGTAACATTACAAAATCTGTAGGTGCCAATCAAAAATCTCGCATCTTAAAAACCCACCGTAAATATAACTAAGCATACACAATAAAGCATCTATACATATTTTATGAAGGTGATGCATATTGAAGTCATTTTAAAGGAGAAAATATTCACACCAATAAAATTTCCACACTTGTGATCAACCATTAATCAATAACTGCTATACTTTCGCATATATCCTTAATCAAACAATTTGTTTAATAAACCCCAAATCCATTTGATATGTTGACTGGCAATATTTATACGGGTGAATATGAAGATGAAAAAAAAAATAGAAAGACAGTGCTGTGTGGTGGATGAACATTGATTATTTAAATTCCAGGCACGAGTTGTATGTTCGCGTTAACACATTTTATTTAATATACGATGTTCACTTTTCATTTTCACTGATTTTCAGTTTCAATCTTTCTCTTTCATTCTACCTATCCATGTATCCTTTCATAATGTAATGTGATTTTGAGATATTAGATTTCTTATTTTCAATGATAATCATATTATGAAATCGATTTCAGTCACGCATTCATAAGGAAATTTTTTAAAACATTGATATTATTTTCGAATTTTCTCACATTTTACATGTGCTTCATGCTGCGTTATTCACCCGTATAAAAATTATGATGATTCTTAATTCAAGAGTAATGAATATAATTCGATCATTAGATGTAATCCATTTATTGTTATTACCGTGTTATTTCATGCACCATACTTTATTGACAAAAAAAATTGAAATAGCTTTGGAACATTCATGTTAAGCTTGTTGTCATTTACTATTGTTATATTAAGAATCAAGTTTGTATGGCTATTGGTTATGTAAAAGACTATTATTGGAAATCTATAATAGTTGTTTCCTTTAAATAAAAAACATTTTTTTCAAAATTTTTTTGAATGTCTGTTTTGGGTAAAATTTATTTTGAAGTTATTTAATTTTAGTGATTAGACCTTAATATCAATAGCTGCGTTACTTTCAAGACCTCCAACTCAAACTAGACCTATAGTTTAGTAAGGGTTCCGAACTACTCTTTTGATGACATTTTTGTTTTTATCCTACAAAGGATAGCGCCAAGTTCATTTGATTCGAAAAAGGACAAGAGATTTAAATGATCTCTCAAAACTAGGGTTACCATCTAGTTTTCATGAAAATACAGGACATTTGGTAAATTTTTTCGAAAAAAACAGGACATAGAGTAAAATTCGAAAATTAACGGAAATTTTCATGAAGAAAATACAGGACCAGGAACAAAATTTAAAAATTTATACAGGACAGGGTTTTGAAATACAGGACTGTCCGTTGTAAAACTACGCAGATGGTCACCCTACTCAAAACTTACCTTGTGTTCCAAAAATCATCATTAAACCAAATATTTTTTTGTAAAGTTTCACTAAAATAATGATCGTTGCTCGTTTGTAATAATTTTCTATCACAAGTACTGCATACATAAGTTGATCTAGTTCTTATCATCCTGCACACGAGTTTGAAATCTCTACGAAAAAAGTTTTCGATATTTTCAAATTTTATGAGGAATTTCATTGTCAATCTAATAAAATGTGAGATAAGTATCAATAACGTATTGTCAAACGTGTATTATACACACAAAGTATCGGACTATTTGCCATGTCATATGTTTGTTATTACCATGATACACATAAGCATTGCATGTATGTTTTATTCATCAAAATCGATGAATAGATTGCTTACTCTGACGTTATGAAATTGAAGTGTAGATGATATATAGTATGGAAGGCCTTTCAAAAAATCTTTCTATGGAATCCTTTTTTATATACGTTATTTTTTTTGTCCATTTAGATTGAATCAAAATGTTAATAATAATGGTAATACAATAAAGTAGTGTGAAATACTCGATAAATTGTCGAACGTGTCCATAAGAGTAAAATAGCCATGTGACTGAAGAGATAGAAAAAGAGAGCGGATGAAAATGTAAACATTCGATAACATGTGATTTTCTAAAGGTAGTTACCAAATAAAAAAAAGTACTACATGCTTCGTCGAAAAAGAATATGATCGTACAAAATTCAACTTATAACGCTATCTATTGGCAAATGTCGTTGTTTTATAAGCAAAAGTATAATGTTTATATATAAACATATACTACGTTTACATACAGTTTATGTAGAACTGCAGACGATAGCTGCTTTTTCTTTTTTCTCTTTTATTTTTATACATAAATGCGATAAAAGTTCCCTCTCAAAAGGAATTTCTCGTTCTGCAATTCATAAAGACTTCTTTTGCGTCCAAAACTCATTCGTAAACTCTTTCATGATTTTATACTAAGTTATAGAAAAAGCACACCGTGCAAAAAAATGAAATTCAATTTTCTTATATACATAGCTGAATGTCTTGAGTATTGAAAGCATGAAGGAGAAAATGAAATAAATAATAAAAAAGCTTCTATACACACTTACACTTATCTAAATCCCACCCAAATTCTGAAAAAAAAATTTATGATTGGTCGATTGTGCGCAAATTCCAAATGACTTCGGCTCTTTGAAAGCTTCGTGAAAAAGAGAGTAATCACATGTGAGAGAAAATTTTCAAGAGATTTTTTTTTCTACCCTTCATAAGATACATATTGAATCGTGATAGGGATACTGTGTGTGCAAAATTTTTCATCTCTCCATTCATAATGAAAAATTCTTTTGCACGTCTATGAATTGCTCAGTTTTTATTGAGCTTCGTTGCGTGATAGTCGTTTATGAAAAGTAAATATAATTTTAAAATACAAATATCATAAAGTTTATAATTATGATGATTCAGATGAAGTATGATTGAAATAACGTGACATGGCGCTTATGCTTCATTTGAAATCATCACTAAAACACCATCTCTTAAAAAGCCGCATTTTGTTATTGACAAACATTTGCTACTATTGATAGATCTCATAATCTGATTACCTAAACGAATCAAGCATATTTTTTTTTTCTTCTCTGTTTGTTGTTTAAAGAAGAGACATTCATGTGTCGCATACATAAAATATAAACTGTATAATGATAATCGTTGATACCAGAGAGTTTATCCATTTAAATAATAATAACAATAAAGTGAAAATGCAGTAAAAAATGTTTTGATCAATTTAATTTTTTTTTTTCAATAAACGACTCAGTGATTTCACATAAATGGATTTTGCAATTTAATTTATTATAAAGTGCTGCAAACAGATGAACTGAGTGGAAAATTGAATCTGCTAGAGATTCTCAGTGATAGTCAATTTATGGACGGAGATGTGATCACATCCATAATTTGTTTATAAACAATAATTTTCATTCAATTTTTCATTATTTACTTGAAAATAATAAGGATTTACATGATCAAAAAATTGTCGCTTTAAATTGAGTGCTCATTTTATTAAAAGATTAGTTTTGCTTATTTTTAAAAATAAATGTGGGTTAAATTCAATTGGTAAAACACAAAATCAGGAAAATAATTTGAACAAGATTAAAATTGCTTTAAGCAATTCATTTAAACATTCCTCATTTCCGCATATTATAAGAAAGTTTAAACGCAAGCAAAAAAGAGAAAAAAAGTTGTGAATCTCTTTTCAAACGAAAGAGTTGAGGAGAAAATTAAAAGAAAAATAAAATAACAAAGAATGAAAACTTTTCAATTAGTTATGATATCTTAATCATGGAAATGAGTATGCGGTAATAATATTTGCTGAGGAAAAAATAAAGGGAAGAAAACAATTTCTAAATGAATTTTATTGTTCGAGTGTTATGAAGAAATGAAACTTTTTATTTGTGTAGATATTTGTCATTAGCGATTTTCCTTCAGGTCTCTATACGCGGGAGAAATAGTTTGAGAAAATAAAAAAAATATTGCATGTGACCCGAGGAGCACAAAAAATTTCTAGTGGCAACATGTGTTGTCTTGAAACTTTTGTTCTCCTTCGGGGAAAAAAATAACCTATAAAGTTTTGATATCTTAGTCACGTGCTCATGTAATTTAACCGAGAATTAGCATAAATAACAATGGATTTACTTTTAAAAATGTGAACACAGTATTTGGATGCTGAGGATCATTAATGAAATGCACTATGTTTACAATGACAATAAAATATGCATAAATCAAATTGTGAACATTTTTACTACTTTATTTTACAATGAAAAATAATAAATTCTCGTAGAGTGCACTCAAACCACTAAAATCATAAACATACGTATGCACAAAAAATATTTTGGCTACAAATACGTACATGTATATGGTGTGTGTTTATATTAAACTTTGCTGAAAAAACCATTAAACCATAAATTAAGTGCTAAAACAAAATTAAATAAAATAATTTTATTGTGCTTCCGCTTTGGTTTTGCTGGAAAAATTCTGAAAGTGTTTTCAAAATTTTAATCAAATGAAACTAAATCAAACAGAGTGCAGCTGATGGTTTTACGATATTATATTGGAGCCCTTGTGTTGCTAGTTTCATTTCTAGCACCAAAGGGAGTCTCCTCAAACTCCAATGCCATTATTCCGTCGACCAATGGTAAGTGACACATTTTTCATCTTTCCATATGTTTATAGAAAAGATTATACAGCCACAATACGACTTTAATTTCACCGTGCGGAAATGCTTAATATACCAACCATATATTTTGTTACATTTGCTATTTTTTATATATATTGTATCACAAATTTCAGAACTATATACATTTGTTCGTTGACTTCTGTACGTCACCGCATGCAACGACAAACATGAAAACAATTTTTGGTATTGCAAAAAAAAATATGTTAAGCTTAACAGTAAAAATCATTTTTATGTGTTTCACCAACTATGAATGTAATTTTAATTTATTTTTATTGTTATTTCTGCAATGACTATAATGGAAAAATTACATTCAACCATTAAAATACAACAAAAAAGTTAATTTTTTTAAATGCCGAGAAAATCCTAACAAAAATTTAATTTTTCAGCAATTTGTAGAATTTTTAATTCCATAATTAAAATGAAATTTCTACATTTAAAAAAAAAATCCAAAATGTTTAATGGAAAAGTTTCATCATCACATTTTGTTTTATCTCAATTCAAGGACAAAAAAATCCTTTTCTGTTGTATTTGGTTGTTGCTTTAATCATAAAGAAAGGCACAAAAAGAAGAGAAAAGAAAGAGCCGGTGTGTTTACGCTAATTAACTGATGACAATAATAATCTGACTATTTATCTACAATGCGTGAAAATTGGGGTTGAGAAAAACATGTTTTTCGTTGCTGTGGTACTTTTTTCATGATTGAGGTAAAATTATGAATCATCTGAAAAACAATAATCTTTTTATGAACAATACGGTTCGATTTAAAAAATACTATAAGCTTATACTGCAAACTGCAATGTATCGTAAAAGTAATAGGCGAGTTTTTTCAAATCATAAATTTCAATTTCGAATGCATTTTTGTAATTTTTGGATGATTTTTTTTATCGAAATTGTCGGTTGTTTTTCCATTTATGAAAAAGTAATTATTTTCATCTAACACCGTGATTCAGATCACGATCAGAAATCTGCACAAGATTAATAATGACCAACCGACTCTAACGACCTACACATCTACATATCTTTTCAACGACACACAAATTGTGGCTCGGTACATGCTTGAGATATGAAATTATGCAGGGTTGCAAAAATCAGTCGTTTTTACTGACACAAATTGAAAAACATATAATCTAATGCTCAATGCATCAAAAATTATCAAAAAAATTACAAAACTACTCTTTGCTTTATGAACTGACTAATAAACGAATTTAATCCAAAAATCAAAACTTTAGCCTTTTTTGAAAATTTACGATTCCAACTTTATTTTTTTTCACCAGGAAATATTTTAATGCTATTCGAGCATAAATATTTTTTGATCAATTCTCTTTTTCTTCGTTTTGAGTTTTTATTTGTGAAAAGAGATTTTTTAAGCAAATTGCATCAAAACAACATTTAATTACAGAATTTCGATTAAAGCCACATGCATTATTAAATTCAGAGGATTTGTAGGCTCAATTTCAAAAGGTTTGAAATATACTAATTTGAAATCGAAGAATCGTGAAGCAACAAAATTCTATTTTAAGTATTACAGCCCCTAATCATATAGTATAAATACATTGTTTATTATTATTATTATGTTTAGGAAACAACGTTCCAAAAATGCACCAAAAAGCTGCTGCTTGAACACTTAAAATACAATTTTAAAATAAACTGACAAACTTAAGATTTTTTTAACGATAAGCTTTAAGACAAAGAAAAAGATTGTAAGTTTTACTTTAAAGTTCAATTAAATATGATTTTAGAAACTGTTAATCTTAGTTTTTTCCCCTGCATATTGATTTTTTTTTTCACATTTGGAAACCGTAAGTTAAAGTTATTTAAAGTCGGTTTTGATATTAAATTAAAAATTTAGTACTGAACTGAATTGAAATGAAAACAGAAGAAATTTAATTTAGAAAGAATTTTTCTTATCTTTAAACTTTTGGAAGTGCTTTAAATCTCTTTTAGAGAATTGCTCTATGGATAACAGACAGAAACATAAATAAAAATTTCGCGGATGTTTCATTTCGACACAGGAATTTATGAATAAAAATCTGAACTCGAAGAAATTTTTTGGGATTTTAATCTCCATTTGAAGAAATAAATGGTTGAGTAAAAGAGAAACATAAAAAAGTACATTTAGAACATTTTCAAATATTCTAAACTTAAATTCTGCTTTTATTTCTCTTTTACTGAGAGATTAAAGAAGATTTAAGATAAAAAAAGAAATAATAATAAGTTACTTGTTCCTAAATAATATTATAATTCCCGTCATGAGTCTGTTTGTTTGTAATTTTTGTAAATAATGTAAATTTCGCACAATGTCTTATCGATATATGCTTAAAAAATCGATCTAATATCAAAGTGATATGATTCAAATTTTAGCATTAAAAGCAAAAGTTACAAAGTTAAAGTCCTAAGTCAGAAAAATCGATATACCAACCGAAATATTTTATTAAAGTTTTATCAAGCACATAAGGATCTTTATTCTTTATGCTAATATTCGCAATATGGTGATATAAATATAGCATATAATTTGACTTTACTGAAATATTTTGGTCGTTGTTGAAAATAAAATGACCTTGAAGGCTCGTTTTTAAACTCTCTGTCTGACTTTTTTTTCATTGCAAGCAATTTTTAAAAGGACGTTGCAATTTTTCAGATCATTAAATATTTTAATTATTTTCATCATTCGCTTTACGTTTCGGATGAAAAATATGTTTCTCATTGTCCTTTTTTACAGCATGAGATTGATGCACAATCAAAAGAAGACAACATATAATATGGAAATGCAATTAATGGAATTTGCAATTGAAATGCTGTGCAACGTGATACATAAATTGAAGAATTAGTATTGATTTTCATGTGTAAATTTATCGTTTGTGGCTTTAGAACTTTTCATATATTTACATAAATGAAATGTCATTCACTTACCTTCGATAAATTCTATTTATTTTCTATGTTTTAGTGATAACTGAGGAACCAGAATTTACGGACGTAATCGAAAATGTCACCGTACCTGCAGGTAAATTTAAAAATCTTGAATCCTTTTCAAAATGATTTTCTCTAAAGCAGAAAATTTTCTTTCGTAACATTCTTTTAGGAAGGAATGTCAAATTGGCGTGCTCTGTAAAAAATTTAGGATCTTATAAGGTATGAGAAGAAAAAAAATCATTTTTTATTTTAATTTATACATAGTGGAAGGGCAAGAAAAGATTTGATGCTATTAAAATCACGTTACATTTTAATTAAACAACCCTTCCTCGAATATTTAATCAAATGACCTAAAGGATGAAACTACGTTAAGAGATTCCATCTTTTAATTGACTAAAATGACAAAACTAAGTGATTGTGAATTACAGACATAATAGCTTCTAGTGATCTTTATACATTTGCCCACGTTAATGAACTGAATGATTCTCATGTACGATAAAATAAAAGTAAATGCAAATCCTATTTGAAAAACAAACAAAATGTTTAGGAGGAACTTAGAAAGTTGAACAACAAATCTGTTCTTTATAATTAACAATCACATAAACCCCTGCTAAAGTCATGTCAATGTTTACATTATTTATTTTGTACAAGTTACAAAGAAATTTGCAATTTAAATTTAAGATAATTACAAGATAAACAAAATACAAAACTAATTATGAAGTTTTAAACTCTTCCTTGAATACATAATTGCTCGAACATAAAAAAGACCATAAGCATCATACTATTATGCCCGATTAATTGCAGTTTAATGATCAATCTCTGTAATTGACGGGAACAAGTAAAATTTAATTCAGTGATAAAACAACAAAAACAAAAACAAAGGCAAAAACAGTTGAAAATCAATCTGTTTGTCGGCAACAGTCTGTAAAAAATACAATAGTAGATTGATGGGGAAAGAATGGGCATCAAACGAAACTGAAACAAACAAAAACATAAAAACCAATAAAATCTGAATAAAAGCATTGAACGATAAAAAAAGTTTTTCTTTGCAAATTACCAAAAAAAAAAACTTTATACATTGTGGATAGATAGACATATAAAGCATCTCGTGGTGCTGAATGCAATTAAAAAATCGTTTTTTACAATTCCTTTTTTTACACTTCTCTTTCAACCGATAAAATTCAACATTTTTGTACTCTTTATATTGCGTTGCTCTTTTCTGGTGATGATTATGGTTTTTATGTTCAATTACCATATACATACAATAGGTGACTATATGTTTGTTGTGTGTGTCCCAACCACATTTTGTAGTACCACATTTCAGGAAAAATTCAATTACAAAATTCAACATCTCCCCATAATACCTACAATATAAGTATTCAAGGACGCATATTGTGTATTTAAATTCACAAAGATGAAAATTTTAGGGTGGAAAATCTTTTTTATGATTCTTTAAAATGACAAAAGTATACACAACAAAAGTATGTTTATTTACTGACTTTCCTGACTTGCTCTCTTTTTTTCTTAAATCTCTGCAATCTGTGAAAAGCCGTAAAATGCCAAAAAATAGTCTTTGTTGAAAAGTATTCTTAAATAACTTTAGTGGTAATGGTAGAAAGTGTTGAAATCTTGATTTGATTGAAAGGTTCATACGTAAAATGGGGAATTTAATTGAAGAAATTCTTTTTTTTTACAAAGGGGGAGCATTTTTTCCACATAATCCTTAACTTTTTTTGCTATTTCTTATTGTTGTTACTTTTTAATTCAGATTGGTTTTAGTTCCTAAATATATCTTGTTGGAAATGATTTTTACTTGTGATCAGAGTTGCGCTAGGGCGTTACAAGGCTAATGATAGTTTAACGAGTGAGGATGCGCCAAACCGCTATACTCAACCCTAAACCTACAATTTATAGAGGGATCCGAAAAACTCCTTTGATGACATTTCTGCCTTTAGCCTACTAAGGTAAGCTGTGAGCCTCATTTCCAGTCCATTTCCAATTTACGATCGGTATTGTAATAATTTGGAACCGAAGTACTAAACCATTCTGCCACCGAGCCACTTCAGCTCACTTAATAAACAAAAAAACCACTTTATTAAAAACAAAGTGGATTGACCCTGAGTTTTGTATCTAAAAATATCTTAAAATTTCACGAAAATTATAAAGTTATGGTAGATCAAGAATAGTTTAGGGCTTGGAGAGAATTTTATTCGCATAGATCACTTAGAAGAGCACATTACAATTTATTCTAATATAAATCACCTAAATCTTTATTACATCGTCTAAGCTAAGAATATACATAGCCAAATATAGAAAAGGGTAATTTGAAGCATTTGTTCATACTTTTCGGAGACTTTAAAGTATCATGTTCTTTTTCAAACACACAAAAAATTTATGCACAAAAACCGTACAGAAAATGTTGTCTACAATCGGTTTTAAAGTTCAACCCACAAAGTGACTTTGTGAGTCATGTTGAAGTGATAAAATCTGGTAGCATTCTAATCCTTCAAAAAAAAAATTTAACCACAAAATTATTCGGTTTTTGTGTTTTATGCTTAAAAGCGCAATGTGGTAAAATCATTTGTTGAATTCTTTAAATTCTACTTCCAATATACTGTTTATAAGTATGGCAAGAAAAGGAGATCAACGTCAGATGGTGAAACAGGAAAAAAGTCGAAAGCAATAATTTGGCAAGTTTGTTCTGATGACTTATGAACATGTGTTTGAAATTGTTTTTATTCTTTTTTTGTATCTATTTCTTGTAAGCAAAAGAAAATATAACATGATGATATTTAACATCTTCTGTAGATGCTTTTATTAAATAAAATTTGGCGTACTTCTTCTTTCTTTGCTCCTTTGTATTTAAGGCATTCCATTTGTTGAGTGCTGACGGCATTATAACATAATCAAATTATGCGCTACTCGTTATCTTCTTTTCTCTAGTTTTCCTCTGTATTTTCTTATATGATTCCCCTTTTTTGAAAAAAAAAAGGCAGCCAACAAACATGTATGATTATTTTCTATACAATTTCTCTAGCATTTCGTTCACCATTCTTATTCATAAAGTCAAGGTAAATTACATACTTGAGTGAACAACATTTTCTCATGAACAGGTTTTATTATGTCGACCGACCCATTCTTACCACTTTATTTTATTTTGCTGAGCTGTGCTTTTCTTCAAAAAGTTTGATTCGATGTATAGACTGTTTTGCAAATATTTTTAAGAAAATCTAACACTGGGAAAGCAGAAAAATTTGAAATCAATAGCCTCTTATAAATTGAGTATCAAAATTTTTCTTTAATATTCCACAGTACTATTTACTAGAATTCAATAAATGTTGACTCAAAGTTATAGACAACTTAAATCATATCAGAATTAATAAAATGCGTCGTACTCAGTATAATTCACATGAATTTTTAACTTGATATTTTTCATTCTATTCTTTGTGTAAACCATCAAATATACTTCTACTGACATGTTCATATGAAAAGGAATCTAACTAATTTTGCGCAAATATTTACTGTGTGTATACACACATTCACTAGCATCTAGAAAAAATTTTATTTTGCCCTTTCATCAAAACATTTTTTGATTCTGAAAAGAAGATCTTTAATTCTATTATCGTCTTCTTGCTGTAAGCATTATTATCATTATTATTGGGCAAGTATATTCTTAATCATAATAATACAATCTATCCATACATTATAGGTTGCTTGGATGCATTTCGAACAATCAGCAATATTGACTGTACATAATCACGTAATTACTAGAAATCCACGGATATCTGTGACACATGATAAGCATGATAAATTCAAGACATGGTTCTTGCATATTGCAAATGTCCAGGAAGAAGACAAAGGACGATATATGTGTCAAATAAACACGGTAACTGCAAAAACTCAGTTTGGATACGTCCACGTTGTAGGTGAGTTCCTAAGCTTCTTCAAAATTATTGACGCAAAACTTCTTCTTTCACAACCGAAAAACTTTTTAACAAGTTTCTTGAACCTCAATAGGAGATATACAAGAGCACTTTAGATTCAAAAAAAAAATTATTTTTGCATTTGAATTTTTTCTTCCTTGCTTTTTTATATTATTCTGGGTTTTTTTAAATTACTTTCTCTTCAATCATTTCTTTTTTCATATTTTTTTTTTTACTCTTATTATGAAACGTAAATCATTGAAGCTGTTTTCTTTTTTCGCTTAAGCAATTTCTATTTAAAAAATAAGAAAGAAGAAAAATTCTTTTTCAAATGAGATTTCTTACGGGTAGAAAAAGAAAAAAATGCGACTGCAGATTTGTAATGAATTTTTAATTGAAATACACAAATTATAATCCATTTGAACTTTGAATGAAATTTCAATTAAATTTTTTATTCCTTTTTTCTTGAGTTTTATTTAAAAAAAATTCTCTTTTATTCTAAAAAAGGTGAGACTTATACTTGCTTATACTGCTTTCATAACAAGTTACAAAGAATTGCTTACTTTTATTTTATGTAAATAAATCATTGATAAGCAATGATCCGCATCTAAACGGAGCGAAACTAACGACGCAGTTAAGAATTAGAATAACTGTTTAATTGACAGCTCTTTGTGCAATTATTAAAAGATCAGTCTGAAGGAATTATAAAAGAAAATGTTAAATCACAACTCTTTTGTACCAAAAAATACTTCAGTAAGTGGACAAAACGAACGGTGTTAAGAAATCACACATGACAATAATAAAAATTCTGTAAATTTATTTTTAAAAAACCAACAGACATGCTCTTCAAATCCATGACTTCAAAGCCATTTCCTTAAGGAATTCCGAGTAGCATCGATACAGAATAAATTATTTGATACGATAAAACGAAATGTGAATGAGAATTGTGGTACAAAATGTATGTTGAAACTTTTCACGATTTTCGTACGTTTTCAGAATTAAGAGTGAATTTTACGACGAGATTAAAGTTTCAACGAAATTCTTATATCTAAAGTTAATAAAACATAGTTAAAAGAAAAACTTTCAACACAAATTAAATGTGATTTTATTGAACGTTAATAGAATCAATGGAGTTGAAATAAAATTGAATAAAATATGAAAAAGAAATCTATTGAATTGTCAAATAAATCTTTATCAATGTCTCATTCATTTCAGTTCCTCCCAATATTGATGACAGTCTGAGTTCAAGTGACATTATTGTGCGAGAAAATTCAAATGTAACGCTTAAATGTAGAGCCCATGGTTCTCCGCATCCCACAATTAAATGGAAGCGTGATGATAATTCAAAAATAAATATTAATAGATCAACGAGCGGTATGTATATTCTATTTTAAGTCAGAACGGGTCAGAGCTAATTTAATTTTAATTATTTTATATAAAATTCAATAAAATTTTTCCCACAGTATATGATTGGGATGGAGAAATGTTAGAAATCACAAAAATATCGCGCTTAGATATGGGAGCATATTTGTGTATTGCAAGCAACACCGTTCCACCTTCTGTCAGTAAGCGAATTAAAGTCAGCGTAGATTGTGAGTATAAATTAAAATGACTAAATCTCTCTTGCTCATTTAAAGGACTTTTTTTTTGGTCAATTGAATTTGAGAAGTGGCTTGAAACAAACAAACGTCACGCTTTTAAAATAAAAATTTGAAACCGGATATTTCTTAATTCATCAAATGCATTTTTTTAAAACAAATAACATTAACTTTGGGGTGACAAGCCTTTTTTAATTCAATTAAAAAGTTGAATAAATAATGCACGAGTATGTTTTATAAAACTGAATGGTCCTTAAAAGGAAAATTAAACCAGTGAATAACAAAATTTTCTGAGGATAGCATCAACAACTTTAATACTGAAATGTGACCGAAAATCGATATGGTTAGTCAAATGATTTTCAAAAGTAACCAACATGACTCTCACAATAATGCGGAAAATGTGAGTGTGGTAACAGATGGAAATAGTATTTAATTATTGAAATCTCGATAGAATTTTATGCTCCATTTGTTCTTTCTCATTTTTCATTGCTAAGGAAATGAATTTTATTTTAATTCAATTGCATGAAATAAGGAATATGTTACTGTTTGTTTTGATACATCACATAGTTGCTCTATAAGCTTCAATGAAATATTATTAGTCATAAAGTTACTGCTAAGCATAATTTATATTCAACAAGCATGCTTGCTTTTGCTGAAGAAAAACACTTTGAATAATTTCTCCCCCACAACAATAAAGGAAATAAAAACAAACAAAGTGGCAAACTGTTGCTATGTATCATTAGCTGTCACGAGCGACATCGCACCATCAAAATCTACTCGGGGCTAGAAGAGCAAATGTAAATATTTTATTAATAATTTTTTTCTCCTCAACCTCAATTGTTAAACAATAACTAGTTCCTTCCGTTGTGGCTCCCAAAAATTTACATTCTCTTAGTTGAAGTGCTATTAATAAAACCACGCCGTATGCAACCAGAAGAAGAAGAAAAAAAAACGATTGGAATAAAGAGGGAATTTTTAAAGATATCTTTTCCCGTTTTCTACTCACCATGAAAGGTCATGTCAAGCATGGCAGCAAACATTATGCAGAAAATATTATTCAATATATTAAAACAATATGGAACACTTGTTTTGCATATTATTAGAAAACGAGAAGGAATTTTTCATTCTGCACCAAAACTGTGCTTCAATCATTCCATTTCTCTTGTTGTCTCATTTCTCTTTATCTCCCTCACTTAAGGCAATTCTTCCATCGCTGCTGTATAATATGTTTAGATGTGTACACAATGAATTTCTTAAGATGTTTGGCTTTCTTTTACTTTGGTTAAAGAAGTAAAGAAAGAATAAATATTTACATAAGAAATCTGTTAAACTTCTTCCTATTTCGCTCTTTCATTTTCTTTCTTGTGTTCAGTCAGTGCTGAATGTTTCTCATGCTCTTCCCAAAGAGAGGAGAAAATAAAAACCAAAGTAAATTATTGTGTTTGTTTGCACAGGGAAATAGCGAAAGGAATGAAGAATTAATAATAAAACATTTATGAATTGGGATCAAAAGTCTTAAACTTCAATTATTTAGCAACATCTTTGAGTTACTTCAAACAACCTCATGCCTGTATTATATCTGCGTTTTCTTTTGTATCATAAAGCACGGCTAAAAAGTATCAGAAAAGAAAATTAAATTTGTTTAATTTTATTTGTGCTTATTTAATTTTGCATGCTTAATTGGAAAACAAAAACGTTTTGAATATAAATTTTTACAGAAATCGATAAGTCGCTGTCGGTCTAGATAATGCTCTCTAGTCAAACATTACAAGAAAATAAATTTAAAAGAATAAAAATCGAACAACGTGTAGTGTTGAATGTCAATGAGCAAAATTCCTGCATCATGATACATTTTAAAGTTTTTTTTTCTTCTCTGTTTCTTATTTTTCGCCTCACTCCCTCTTTGTTCGACATGTTAATGGAATGTCTACTTTAAATTTTTTTATTCTTCTTATTTTCTTCTCATCATTTTACGTTGCGAAGGGGAACTTTGCCTTTATGCAAGAAAAAAAAAATCTTTAAATAAAATTTCCCGTGTTTGAGTTTACTGACCGGAAGAAATTATTATGACACAATATCTACATCTAGTTTGTAAATAATATTATTATTTATCATATTTCCAATTTTATTTTCGCCATAAAATTTCAAGGAAATCAAAGATGATGTTTGGGATGAAATAAAAAGTTTTCAGATAGAATCATATCTACCTTATAATGCATTCAGATGCTTCCATGTGTCGACTTCATTTCAAATAAATAAATAGGAGAAAACAGTAGAAAAGTAGTACTTAGATATATGCGAATGATACAAGGAACGTGTGTGAAATTGCACCTACTGTTTTCCAATTTCCACACATTATTTCCTCGCTCTTTTCCCGCTATTTCACATACATGAAATATTTTCTGTTAAAGCTCGAGGGCACTATCAAAGGGAAAAAGAACATAAAATAAATATGAAAAGGAAAGAGGAAGTGTGAAAAAAGAGTAATAAAGATAGACATATAAAAAGCAAAAAAGTGAGAGGGGTGAAAATTTTACAAACGGAATATAAAAATTATTTGTCTTACGCACATTCCTTTCATCTTTCAATGGGGCTCATAATAAAGTGATTTTTCTGGTAACGTTAACATGCATGTATGTATCCTGTAAATATACAATCTATATGTGTGCAAAAAGAAAAAAATAAGAAGAAAGAAAAACTAGAAGATAATAAATGGTAAAATGAAAATCTACTTCATGAATACCAAATGAGATTGGAGAACGTTTTCATTTCGACATTAAGTTCATAAAGATATGCCTGTGTATTTTTATGTACACATATTGTATGTTTATACGTTTTCATATATGTTACTAGATTTGATTACTGGAATCCTTCTGATTAGAGCTGAGCAACATAATGTGCAAAGTGTTTTAATTATGAATTCTATCCTACAAGATATCGATCTGAAAAGATTTTCTCTTTGAAGCCTTTTACGAATCTCAAAGAATACTGTTGACTAGCTTATTTTATATGTATGATATAATCATTTCATCATTATCATATGTCGTAGGGATTATTCACTTCAACAAAATGCCTCCAGGATAACAAGTGTTGAAAATCAGTAAAGAACGATGTCGACAATCCTCTACAATTTGCTCCACTTAATGTCACATTTCTCTTGTTCTCATGGGATTAATATTATTTCAATTAACAAAAGTACAAAATAGTTATGTAATAGAATGTGTGAATACGGTGAAACATCAATAATTAAATTTGAGCAACAGATGAGAATTATTACCACGTGGAATACATTTTTTGATTATAGCTTATTGCCAGTGGCGTAACTTACTTCTTTTCACTCTTCCATTACCTATAAAAAAATAATGAATTAATTTCGGGTTTTTATTTTCGGCATTGAGTTCAAAAAACCCTTGCTACGTCTCTGCTTGCTACATTTTACCTTTAGTCTATTATGACATTGATAATACTGTGATTTGCATATTTCATCTACCTTTGCAGATTAAAAGTCACGCTTCATTCCATTTAAAAACTCGTTATTATGATTACAAAATTTCTACTTAATTACCAACAGAGTTCTTCGGCAAAGATGCTATAAAAATTATGGTGAAAATTCCTTTCGGTAGAAATCCCAGTTCATGAATAATAAAATATTATTCATAAAGCATTCAACAATAAAAAGAATATAGCTCCGGATTTTTCCTATTAATATTTCCGTATCTTGTTCACTTTTTTCGTATTATTTTTTTTTTGTTGTTATATCAAAATGCTCTTTCTGGCATTTGTCTCTGGTGAGTTGTATCATTTCATTGCCATTATATTCATCATATTCTTTTAAACATGAATACCTTTATTTTCCACCCCGATGAGCGAATTCTTTCTATTTTTTATGCAAGGCAGGCAGAAAAAAACATATTGTGTTTTACAAAACCGCAACAAAATTCATAAAGTTACCTAATTATTCTTTTTGTGGCCATTTCACTGACACTTTGGAGATTTTCACATTAATTTATGATTTATCCGAAATAATGAGCAGCGGAGATATATTTTTATAAAAGCTTTACTGTTCATAAAATAATGAAACATCCTTCCATTACTAATTTAATCTTACTTTTCCGTTCTTCATTTTCAGTTTCCCCAATGCTTCAGGTTGGATCATAAGTTTAAAACTTTTAGAAACGACTTTATGATAATTTCTTAACCTTTGCTCTTTTCCTAGATTCCTCATCAACTAGTTGGAGTTCCTTTAAATTTCAACGTTACATTGGAATGCTTTACTGAGGCTCATCCTACTAGCTTAAATTATTGGACTAGAGAGGATGGTCACATGATACATGATAGCAAAAAATATAAGTAATTCTCATAAGATTTGATTAAAAAACCAATATTATTTTTATTTCATACATATATGAGTAAAAGAATAACAAGAAATTGCATAAAGCACCAAATGCTGTAGTATAACGTGTGTTTATATAAACCCAAAACAGCAACAATAAATGCAGACACATGTTTCATAACTACAACACATCACTTGAAGCTGTCGACAAATTAAATTATAATTTTTTCTCTCTTCTATTTTCCATGAATGAAATTTTTATATAAACGATTTATATGTGAGTCGCAGCACTAGAACAGATTTTATAATGAAAATAGGAAGAAAAATCAAAAAAATTTAACTTAAAAATAATAAAATTCAAAGTCATGGCCCCATTTTTTCTCCCATTTATGGTGCTGAATTTTCCATTGAGGTCTGAGTTTTATTAAAATTTTGTGCGATTTATATGAGCGAAGTTGGATGTATAATTTGGGAAAGAGAGATGGAAATTTTGGAAAAATACTTGATATGGAATATACAAACATAATTTTTTATGTTACAACTTTATTGCAGAACTGAACAGAGCGTTGGAGTGCCATCCTATAGGACACATATGCGCTTAACTATTTACAATGTACAACATTCAGATTACGGAACTGTAAAGTGTGTTGGTACGATATTATTTCCTCAGATAATTAAAGTACTAAAACTTTTTACTAAATATAAACTTTTCCTTATTTCAATAGCGAAAAATCCTCGTGGAGAGACAGACGGAACAATCCGACTTTATCGTAAGTCAAACATCAATTTTTTTTCTAGTGTTTTCGTAAAACCATCTTGTGATTATGCAGTCATACTAAAAACTTTCACATTCGCTAGAAAATAATTTTGATATATGCCTCGATTGCTAATATCATTTTGATGCTCACTTATGCTATAAACAATCCGATTTGGCATTTATTGCATTGAATCAAAATTTTTGCTCATATATTATTTGTTTTATATGAGGCATAATAAAAGACATAATCATGAACAATTTATAAATCACACTAGCTCTCTAGAACAATGGTTGGGTGTAAATATTTTCAAGTGAATGGAAATAGAAACAGCAACCCCAAATAAAATATGTTCAACATGTTTATATTCTCTCTCACTATCTTTCCTCTTCCTATAGAATAGAGGTACTGTGTGTGAATACATTTTAGTTTTTGGGTTGAAATTGATGGTTTCATCGGTTATTCCTTTCAACATAAGCATTTATTTCTGTGCTTTGGGAAATTTTATTAAAATGGTTCAAAATTTTCCTGTTCTTAAATCTAAAGGTGGTTATATCTACAGCAAGAAAAATTTGAAATTATTGTAGATGCAAATTTTATGTCAAAAAACATTTTCTTTCTAACTCAATTTTGAAATTGTTTACATTCCACTTCATTTTTATGGGGTTGGAAGTCTCAAAAATAACAATTGTCTTGATTAGTTCCCATTCACAAAAGCTGTCTCATAAAACTCGTCTAAATTGGAAAAACTTTATTTTACAATATTCAGAAAATTTTAAATTAAAATGTCAATTAATAATGTTCCGAGAGGACTCAGAACAAGTTCATTAACGATGACTTATTGGAAAATTTATGACCGAAATATGCTACAGCAATTTTTCCACCGTAAAATTTTCTTATTGTTAACAACTACAAAAAGAAGGAAGAATAACTGTATGGTAATAACGCTGAAAATACAAAACAATGTTATGAATCATGATTGTCTTGCAGTACAAAAAGTATAGTGGCATTGTGGGGCGCTTTGTGACTTAGAAAAGAAAGAAAGAAGAAAAAAGATGAATGAATGTAAAAATTTGAAATGCTCATAAATCATTTTTGAAATTATGATAAGAATTTTTTTCATTTTACTCGCAATTAAAGGCGGTATGAATAGCCTAAATGCTTTTCTCCCTTTTATCCAACTTTTTACTTTTTTTTATGAATATATACAAATAAGAGTTGTTCAAGAAGAAGAAAAAAAAGGCAGTTAAAAGTTTTTATCATCTTAAAGTCTAATCAAATAAAATAGAGGGGAAGGAAACAGCAGCCAGCTTCTTTCTATAAAAATATGTATGCTTATAAAAAAAATTCCTTCTTTCTTTTTAATGGTTTTTCACCTTTCATTGTTATGATAACAAAAGGGCAGCGATAATAACACAAAAAGTGTAAAGTCATTAGAACATGAATTTTTCGGAATAAAAAAAGTTATATCTATTATATTTATATACTGCTGATGGTGAATCGACAATGAGTCAATGAATATTTGCATCATTAGATAATTTCACAATTTTCAGGCAATAAAACGCTTAACTTTTATGTGGTTCCAAATTAAGATTCATGATGTCTTGAGATATATTTTTATTATATGCACACTATGTACGACGTCATGTAAATATGTGAGGCTCGGAATCATGAAATAATTCCTTTTTAATACCATTCATCAATTAACTGATAATAATGTTAAAATAAATTCAAACGCTAAAACTATTTCATGAAACATTTGAGATTTCAAAAATACTTGAAAAACCCCCCAAAAAAAATTTTTTTTATAAATTAAAATTAAAATAAATCATCTCATTTAAAATTAATGATGTTCTCATCAGTTGAAACAATTCATTCATAATGGTTACAATTAAATGATAACATTTAAATTAATTATTCAATTAAAATTAACTGCTTATTATTTCGTGTCGTCACGCGCAAACAATATGTGAATGTTAACAATTATTACATTAAATTTTTAATATTTGATAATTTTGTTTCCTTAAGCCTTTAATATACACTCAAACATTATTTCCATTTTCATTGTGATAATTTCCTTTTCTTGTTGCTTTTTCCCCTTTTTCATTCTTCACTCACTCATTGAGTGTTAAAAGTACATAAACATATGTATAGGAATCCTTGATGGATAAAAGAAAGTTATAAAAGTTATTTCAAGTGCTTTTCTCGACAGCTCATTCATGTCAAATTATTGTCTTTCCTGTACTTGTATGAATACAATTTGCGGTGCGGTATGAAGTGGTTTTAGGTGTGAGGAACGAAAAATATTTCTCAATTTTCATTTTCATCACATAAATCATCTTTATTTTCGAGCAATGAAATTAGTAAAGTTCCATGAAATCATTTATCCATTCTATCTAAATGCTATTGCATGTATTTATGCATGAATTTAAGGTAGAGAAAAAGAATTAAGCATTTTATGACAATAATGCTGCTAAGAGTTTTAAGGCATGAGTACTCTAGGCATAGCAAAAAACAAAAGTGCCATCAAGAATAAAAGGCAATAGAGGAAACAATAACATGCCATTTGAATTTAATTTATTCATAATTCATTGACAGGTGTTTATTCATGCTATTAAATAGTACAATATATACCGAGGAAATTTATGACTCAATTTTAAGATATTTTATTGCTCGGTTAGTAAATGTAGACAGGAGGTAGTTGGGGAAAAAATTCTTCTCACCCCTTCAGGTTCAAATTTCATATATCTTTCTTTTATATTTTCTTTGAAATGTTAAGTTCCTCTCAACACCGCAATAAATCTGACTTGGAAGGTTTGAAAAATTGTACTTTACTTATTGCCTTCATGATTCTCCTTCAATCTCTAAAACATTTATAATTTATTACCTCAATTTCGACGGTTCATCAATCGACACAAAATTGATCATATTTATTTTCTTCGTGCTCCCCTTCATAGTACTTCATGTTTCACTGACAAAATTAGCTTCCTTCATACACCATTTAATCTTTTAAAAGTTAATAACAAAGTCGATCAATTTATTTTATTTTTTTCTTAACTTTTGCTATTTTTCTCATTCGCAGTAATTTCTCATTCAATCAGAATTTTATTATTATCATATATGAGCTGTACAAAGGGAAATGCTGATTGCGAATTTTTTCATATTTCTTCTTATATTTTTTTTCTTCTTAACTGTAATAACTACGGTGGTAGACTTCATCATAAATGTATAGCTTCTAAAAACACATCTTGAATTATTTCATATTTCTTAATGTAATCAGTTAAGGAAGAAATGGATGCTCTACCATAAAATTCTTAATTTCTATAGCAGACAAAGATATTTTAGATCATTTGATACTTCTTGGTTGAATCTTTCTAACGTGTAATATTTTACGTGTCACTTACTTAAAGGTACAAAATTTCCACATGAATTATGTATTTACTAGCAACTAGACAATCTTAAAGAGAACATGAACGTGGTCTGTCAAGTCACAAATACTCAGAAAATTACCAAATAATAAGGAGGGTGGATTTTCATGTTTTATGAACTATATATTGAAAATTTACTTCCAGCAAAGATTGTTATAGTATCTTATCACAACTGTGGGAAGCATGAAAAATTACAGAACTCATAGCAAAGCTACAAGTCTTTGGATTATAAAAACCCTCTGAAGACATTGTCAATTCAACTTATAATCAGTAGCAATAAATATGATGTAGATGATGGCACATTTTAATAAACCTGATCCCTTAACAATATATCTCATACTTTATAATCCTTTGACAATATGCAAATTGAAAAGGATCTTTATTTACCATAAGAGCCATATGTAAATAAATGGTATGCATGTAAGATTCTCAAACAATATTACTAAAAAAGATCCTTAGTAGTCACGTTAAAACTTCAAGATAACAGAATCTCTCTATGAAGGTCATCCTTACTTTCACTCTGCGGGAAATCTGATAATTTAAATTGCGCGATTGCTGGTTTATCCTACCTTACCCAAATTTAAAACGAATAATCGATAATTCAAGCAATTTTCTTTCTACTTACATTTTATATTTCCTTAAGAATTGAAAAAAAGGCATTGAAAATTTTATAATTTTTACTACCGACATTTTTCTCCTTAAACTTTTTTATATTCTACTACGGCTGTTTCCTTTCTCTGCTTGTAATAATAATATGTTTTTGTATCATCTCTTCTCTTCTATTTCATGTTGAAATTTATAAGGTACTATAGCTAAAATGCGCCCAGAATATAAATCGCAATCACGAGATTTTCTCTTCTGTTATTCTTTCTCATACTGAAGACTACTAAGGTTTTCCTTACTATGTGTATTGAAATTGTGTTTGTTGTATAGCAGCACATTCCAAAGTGTAGTCTCATAATATTATGGCAGCATACAGACATGCAGTCTTTTTTCTTATTCTTCTACTTTTACTGCTCTCCACTATGTCTTCCTTTCAACTGGGTCATGCTTAATATTTTATTTCTCATGATTTTTTATTCATTTCCTTTCATACATTGATAGATGGAAAAATTAGTCATTTGATTAAAAAAAAAATCTGTCATGACGTCGAATGTTGCATAAATTATAAAGTTCACTTGTTGTGTGTATTATTTGTTGTACATAAATAAGAAGGAATGTCAGTGAACATTATCTATATTTTAATACGAACAAAGGAGGATGTCAGACGATAGTCATTGATGAAATACCATTAGAGCTATCTTTCTTCAGAATGATAAAAAGGGAGGATGGAAAGAAGAAAATAAAAAGTGAAAAAATGGTATTAGATGAAAAGTGAATGTGTACATAAAAGATCTTTTCTGTCAATTCTTGATGATTGCTAAAAGTGATAATATTACTTTATTAGGTTTTCCTCGCTATATTTCTACCCTTATATATAATCCATCCCTACAGTAAACTAATTCTCAACATTAATTTAAGGCATTAATTTTATTTGCGCCTTTAGACACGAGCATCTAAAAGCTATTTTCAACCCCGATTTCTCCATATAATCTCTATTCTCATCATTCCGACAGAAGATGTTTTTATGCCTTATAGCTAATGTACTGATAACAAAATTTTCTCCTTATTTTTACAGTTTCAACACCACCTACAAATTCGCCTGCTTCTACAGTAGAAAATTTCAAAGACTGGTCGGACATTAGGAGTGATATTAATGCCAATAATACAATCATCAACGGTCAAATTCATTCCAATTCTGTACACGTTTCTGAGAAAAGTATGCTAATTAGACAAATGCTATATTTTTTAAAATCGACTTGAACTTTATGTTACTCACTTTCTTTTGAGGAAATTTAATTTAAGGATTATTTTTTTGCATTTAAAAAAAACTCTAGATTAATAAGTTTTTTAATGATATTTTTTTTATACATTTTCTTTTTCAATATTAGACATCAAACACATATCCAACATTAATGATATTGACAGATTCGAGCAAAAATCATCAGAAAAGAAATTGAATTGGCCAATAGAAGAGAGTAAAGCCAGTAAGTAATGGATAAAACAAATTACAAATTCATAGTGATAATTAAAATATTTATTTTCCCTTTATGCAGATTACGTCAATAAAATAGAAAACGTCTTATTAGGAATGATTCTATTTCTTGGACTTATGATACAGCAACGAATTATATTAACAAATTAAATGAATTTTATTTTTTATATTTTAATATCTATGTACGTTAAGTAAAACTTTGATTAATTATTACTTTTTTGAAAATTTGTCCAAAAATCTAATGCAGGGTCATTAAATTAAAGAAAAAAAAATATATAGGAAAAAGTGTTTTCGAATTTTGTAAATGATATTATAAAAACTGTTAAGGTAATGCTCTCTGAAATGACTTAGTACTTTTGTTTTTAATTGCCCCACCTTGTTTTCATTTAAAAAACGTTTCTTTTTATTCCAATTCAAAGAGCAAATACGAAAATCTTTTTCAATTCAGTCAATCAAAAACTAATACGCCAAATTAAAATTCATAAGGTTAGTAAGTGCATTTTCTGAAGCATTAGCCAAGCATATCTAATCTACTATAGTATTTGTACATTTATCGTAAAAATATACAAATATGTAATGTGGCTTATACAATATTCAATATTTTTAAATGTTCTGATCAGACTTTCAGACCTAACTTAAAAAAAAAATATTAAAATTATCTAAACCTTGTGATACATTTCTATTGCAAATGTGAATAGTTTACTTTCCATACTCGCCATAAAACGTGCTTAACAATCTTCAATCTTCGTTATAAGCCCACTCATTTCACTATCTTTTATGCATTATAGAGTCAAGCATGAGTACAAAAGGATGAAGTTTTTCGTTCTTTAGTTTTTGGGGAATAGTTGAAGAGCACTTATCAAATTTGCTTCAGTTTTCATTTTATTGGCAGATACAAGATTCAGGATGAGAGGTTTCATAATGATGGAAGTTATTATTAAAGTTGAGAACTTTTGAGAAGGAAAATTTTCCTTAATTATTTTGATTCTTGATGATGCTTGAAAAATGAGTTACTATGTATTTGCCCAAGATTACAAAATTATGTTATAAAATGTCTATAGAATCGGAACAAGAGGCAACAAAACTTTCGAAAGAAGATTTCGTACACACAGTATAACACAATTTAATAACTTAAAAGCATACGCTTCACATAAAATACTATAGATTGTTATACATAAATGCATAAAAAAATATATATAAATTGCATATATACATAGAATACGTAAACCCAAATATAATTAAATCAATGACGATGATGATGATGATAATGATGATAAGTCTATAATATTTTAATTATTGTATGTATGAAGTACGAATATATACAAATATATACTGAAGATATGATAGAACTCAAATAAAATTTTAATTGCATTTAGACATATATGCAAATATAAATATACTCTCAACAAAAGATGAAAAAATATACCTGTCTATATGATCTCTACATTGATTTATTTTATTTTTAATGGTTATCATTTTCTTTCTTTTACATTCCAATTTCTTTACAGTTTATTCAACATTTGAATGATAATTTTAATCAAACATTTTTCTATACAAATACCTCCATTGCAAATCGATTTTTCATTCAATTTCATTTTATCGTGAGACTTTAATCAAATCAACATAAAAACGTGTTGAAAATCACGCCTAAAATGTAATTCACGATTCTTTTTTGCTATTCGAATTCAGTGTTTTAAAATCCAGATATTTTTCGTTGAAATTTTAAATTATTTTCGATTTATGTGAAATCTTCAGAATATCGAAATTTACAATCGAATCTAATTTTCTGTAAAGTTGAGTACTCTTGAGTAAAAGAGGTAGTTGTGTAAGCCACCGTAGTAAGGACTCATCTAATATAGTTATATTAAAAAGTAGTTTTTTCAGGTTCAAATGATTATATTTTCAAAATTTAATTCAAGCTTAATAAATTTCTGGGGTTCATAAGTAAATACCTTTTTCTCAATAATTCTTTAAATTTTAAAAAGGTTTGAAAAGCAAAATGTTTAAAGATTTTCTGATAATAAAAATCAAGGAATTGGATCAGAGTTTTAAATACTAAAGTATTGATACATGAAATGAACGTGTTTTACATTTATTGTCAACGGTAAGTGAAAATGTAAATGAAAAGTAAAAAATCACGATATTTGGGGATTTAAAAATTTCCTTACGCATTTCAAGTTTATTGTACATTTTCAATTTTTCTTCTTTTACATTCTTTCCTATATTTTAATATCACCCTCGCCGACATGAATGCACATGAAATGAAAATCAAATCTTGAAAAAGAATGTCGTAAAAATTCTTTTATTCTCCCACTGAAGTTTGTACAGCATTTCTCTTCCTCACTTTTTTTTTGTTAGAGAATAAAATTTAAATAACTTCTGAATAACACGAGTTCTCTTGCGATTCTTTTGCTGTTCATGTCGTTACATATAAATGAAAGGAGATAAAAAACTAGATGAAATCTTTCATTTAAATTTACTACCAAATAAACAGAATTAACAAAATTTTATGAACAGTTTTACTGAATTCTGAAATGTTTGGGTTAAATCTGGAATTACGTAAACTATATCCTCAAATTCAAAAATAAAACACTCACTTACTTCGAATGACTTCAATTGATAGAATTAACACTTTAAAAGAGATTCAAGATTGATGTATATTTATCATAATTTTTGTTTCCGGCTGAGGATCTAAAATCCAACCCATCAAAATATCCTGTTTATGAAAACTCATTGATTTTTCTCATTTTTGATTTTATTCAACATTTCGAGTATATCTGCACTTTAAAAGAATTATTGCTTGCACACTGTATCAATGCCAAATATATTCAGCACCGCTGTATGAATGAAAAGGGAACAGTTCGCCAACTAAATTGCCCATGAAATTTGCTTTTATAACTTTTTGCATTTTGAACATTTTCACGTAGTTTAAATAAATAATTACGTTTCTTCTCTGCTGCTTTTTTGGATCAAAAATTTCGATAATGCACAGGAGAAATAGTGCACACCGCCAAAAATGACATAATGTAGAAAAACAATTGTATGCAAGTAAAAGAAAAATTAGAGCGCATTTTTAACTTTTCTAATGAAGAAAATAACTCAAAACGATTTTTTAAAGATGATGATAACGACCGAAAATCTTAAGAAGTGAGTATTTGTAATATTTCAATTCTGCTTAATTTTAAACTACATAGTTGAATCAGTTCGTTAAAATTGGACCAAAGACTTCGATAAAAATCTAATTGTATAGAAAGTTCTGTAGTTGGACTCAAGTTTTAAGATTGACAAAGTGTCATTTGATTGTTTAGCATGACATGATGCATTAAACGTGTTAAAGAATAAAGGAAAGTCAATTGAAATCGACACATGTGAGATTTGTTAAGTAAATTAACAGCAACCAGATTTTACGAAAATTGATTGATTGTGAAAAAAAGAGATTGCTCAACGGATGGATCACAAATATGCAAATAAATCTATCACTTTTTTTTTTAGCTTTCATTGAGTTCAAATTGTTGTGTTGCAAGAGAAATGAATGAAAGAAAATGCCAAAGCAATTTTGAATCAATGCTGTTAGTCATTTCCTTTCTATTAAAAATGGAATTCTATTGTATCGTTATCAAATTTTCGTATTCTTTCTACATCGTACATATTTTCTACCTTTACTGGTGATACATTGGGGAGATATTGCTATTTATACAGAAGGAAGGAAGAATAAATAGAGAGGAAGGGGAAAATTTGCATTGTAATAGACTTCGTTCGGTTTTTTCAGAATTAAATTTTAATCTCTGTACTCTACCACGAAGATTAAAATTATTTTCATTTATTATTTCCGCATTCTGAGCACGCTGAAGGCTCTTCAATGAATGATATCACAGGTAAAATATTTACATTTTATAATTCTCAACATCATTCTCGAAATTTTACATTATTTATAAAATCAGTCTATGTACATCAAAATCTTAAAATCGATTTACTTTTCGTTGATATTGCTGTTGTGAATTTTTTAATCTCAATTTATATTTATCTACAGATGAATGAATCATGAACTCATTCGACTAGTTATTTTCAATAATAGTATAGCAAAAAAATAAAATTCACTGACTAAAGTCAGGGTTTTAACAGGTATGTTGATGACATTAAGATAATGCAGTGCAAAATATGATTATAAAGTGTGAAATGATTTCAATCAGTTTTCATAAAATACTTGACAATTTGATTTATAACACAGACATTCTTTTTACGTTCCATTACTCTCCATTTCTTTCTTTCAACAGCTACAAATGCTGAACTGAACAATTTGCATACTTCCGCTATGTAGCATTTTAAGTCATTAAATATTCAAATTGATAGATGTGACTAATTTTACATCAACGATTTGTTAAAATTCGTTGATGCTTTCACACATATAGAATTTTATCTGCTATTTTCATGTGATGTGAATTAAGCAAAAAAAAAAATCTCGTGATGTTTCTAAAAATCAATAAAGCATGCTGAAAGTCACGTCAAGTGTATACAAGAAAAAAAAAGTGAAAGGAACGAAAATGCTGTTTCCAAAAACACTGCTTAATGTCAATTTAGTTTGAGGGATTAGTTTTAACACTATAACGATGTCATTGCAAAAAGAACAAGAAAATTCTTTGAATGAAAACTTTTGCCTCTCTAATGCTACATTTAATCTTATTTTCGACTGCGAAAATCCAATACAGCAGCAGGAAAGGAATGAAAATATATGTATAGAATATAGAAATAGAAACATGTACGAAAAATAAGATTTACCTTTTTCCTTAAAGTGAAAAAGTCTCATGAAAAAATTATGTGTTGCAAGATAATACAAATTTTTCTCTATAGTTGTTCTGAAGGAATTTTGTCTATTAAAAGTAAAATTATTGACTTTCGTTCTTGATTTTATTTTAATTTATAGATGGTACTTGAAGTTGTCATCAAAATCACATTCATATTGTAAAATTAAGTTTCAAATAGATTGTAATTTTTTATCAAATATAACAGCAATTAAACTTAGAAGTTTAGATTAATGATAGTTTTTAAAAATTTGAGAAATGGCAATTTGGGTGATTTTGAGGTTAGGGTGGGTTTTATCCTCGAAATGTGGGTTCAAGAAAAACTTTTTCAAATTTTGATGCTTAGTAAGGTCTAAAGAAGCTGAAATTAGATATGCAGATTTCTTGGCAATGCTTGAATTGAAAACCAACACCTCATTTAGTGCTATGT